GGAATGCTCGACCACGTGTCTACGATCAGACGTGATTCCGGTAGGATTAAGGAAACGACTCGCGGGCGGGAAGGGGCATGAGGTGCTATCAGAAGGGGTGGGCAAATGGCAAAAGTATACGACGAAGACAGCGGCGATCGATCGATGACGACCGCTTTCCGCTTCCTCCGCGCATTCCCTCGTCCTGAAATCCGCCCGCTCCGCGAGAGCACGGTCGTCTATCAGTTTCGAAATTCTCCGTGGATCACTGGAACGATCCTGGATCCCTTTGCTGCCAAATTTTCGGGCCGGCTCGCGTGTCACACGCGCGGATGGATCCGCAATCGAGTTCAACTCGCTCCCTCCCCCTGCTCCGTTCTTGCTACCACTGCTAAGTAAATCGACGTGGTCTCGTTCTTGTCTTCCCGGGTTATAGCGGAAAATGTCAGGGAGCCACTTAAACGTCGTCGATTGATTTTCCGACGTTCGTTAAAGTTGAGGTGAAGAAAGGATCTAGGCTGCCTTCGTGGACGAATGGACGAACGCGAGAGAGAGAGAGAGAGAGAAAGAGAGAGATTCAAGTGGTTAATGAAAATGCAAATCGCGGAAAAATAAATCGCCCGTGACGAGAGACCCGAGTCAAATGAGGCCGATCCATCTCTCTCTCTCCTCGGACGTCGAGTAAAACCAAAATCGAGCGCGACGCGCGCGTGCTATTAATCAGCGCTCCGCGGATTAAAGCTTGGTGGCGCGGAGATGGGAGCTCGAGTGGTAAATCAGCTGGCGAAATTCAACCGGGGGACGATGACGACGACGACAACGTGCCGACGTGTAGCCAGCCGCGCTTCCGCTTGGCGCGAGCCGAAATTTCACCGACTCGTAATGCCGGATCACGCCGGAGCGACAACGCCACGAGACAAGAGACCGCGCGACGAAAGTGCCCGTTGACAGAGGTGCTGTCACGCCCGCCGTCGGGAACACGCGCGCGCACTCATCCTCGTCGACTGCCAACGCCGGGGGTTAATAAGACGTCGCTATTCGAATAAAGGGTCCGGCCTCTCGTCATTGGCGAACATTAGCGGGCGCGGAATTAGCTTGACGCACGATCGTCCCCGCGCGATCGGTCTCGTCCGGTGCATTTCTAACGCGTATCAAATCGGCCGTTTATATAGAGCGCTCGCGTGTCGTTTTATGAATATTTTAAGCCGCAGCTGACCCAGATCGTCCTCACGACACGCGGGAAAAGCAATCTGACCTCGCGCATTGGTACTTGGGGGTTCATTTATCTCGGCCGAGTTTCGATCCGTCGCTTTTCTCGTCGCCGGCCACGCGCGTATCGCGTATCGCGTCTTCGTCATCTCGCTCGCCTCCGTCATCCTTCATCCACTCTCGAGCGCACCCTCTATCGCGCTTTTTCGCTCGCTCGTCTCTCTCCTCATCGCGCGGCCTTCTTTTGTCTCTTTTGCATTCTCTCTCTCTCTCTCTCTCTTTTTCTCTTTTTCGCACTCGCACGGCCGCGCATGTATTTACCATCCCTCGTTCACCCTTTATCCCGTTCTCACGCGCCCCAGCGCTTTATCTCGCGGAGTGTCACCGGCGAAGCGCGAGGTTCGTCGATCGCCTGGCCAGAAACTCGCGGGGAAACGATTTATAGCGTGATTTGTGGATTTCCCCATTGTTGCCACAATCGTGCCGTTTAAAGCGGAAAGCAGCGCGAAAAGACTTCGTCAAGAGAACGTCTTGACGCCCTTCCACCCCTCCCCTCCCCCTACCCTCCTCAATCTTTCTCTCTCTCTTTCTCTCTTGTTCTACTTATCTCCCGTTCTCTCGCTCTCTTAGCCCAGATAAAGGACGACCGTCGTCGCTTTTGTACTCGCGCCCGCGGATCGTAGATCATATGGTCATCAGCTGCTGGGCGTCGCGCCGAAGCGATGTAATATTTCACGGGTCTGCGAAGAACGGGCACGCGTGTAACTGGATACCAGTGTAACGGATATAAAGTTGCACTCGCGTACGCGAATACGTGGTCTCGTGGGTGTGAATGAGGGATCGTTAGAGCGACGAAAGCTTCCACTTCAGGAGGAGCCGAGCTCGCGAACGTCGCCGAGTCAGGCTTCCTTCGGGCGTGGAAAAAGCGCAAGAATCAGCTGAATCTCTCGTCAAGGTCGTTGCCTCTCTCTCTCTCTCTCGCGCGCGCGCGCTCGACCCGTATAGTCGCCGTATGTGCACGCAGCATAATGCCATCGTAAACCTACCTACGTCGACCGCTCGCCCACTCTCAGCCGGGCTCCCTCGAACGTTTCATTGAGCGTCGCGATTTGGACGGGCGCCAAGTGACGTCACGAGCGGAAGAGGATCCGGGAATTGCCGATAGTGTGATGGCGATGTCGTGGTCGGGAATGACGGGGGACGAGAGCGAGGGAGGCGAAGCCGCGCGTCGTCGCGATGATTTCGGCGTTCCGTTAACGCGATTCCCCAAAAGTAATAGCTCGCTCTTCGATCAAAGAGCCGGTTCACGTGGGCAGTTTTTTTTATTTTCCTTTTTATTCAAATTTTCATCGAAGAGGGAGGGAGAAAATAGTCCCGTGCGCGCGACATCAGGAGCCGTCGTTCTCCAGCAGTTTCTGCTTGGGAAGACTTCGTAAGCTCGAGAACTTGAAGAACAGTAACGCTAATAAAAGCGGAGCCGTGTTCTCGCGCGTGACCGAGTCGCGCCGCTATCCAAGGTTTTAATTTAATTTGTTCGACTCTCCACCGAAAGATGCTTCAGGTGCATTTTGCGCGGAAAAAGCAAACAAGCCGCTGTCTGACTCCGCTGGTCTTCTTCCACTGCTTCTCGATGCCATCTATGTTTCTGACTTGTTTTCCCCTCTACTTTCCGAAATATATATCTTGTCACAGACAAACGTGTTTTTTTATTTACGTGTATTACGTATTACGAAAAATTATCTGCGTCAAAAATACGTCGATTGACGCTCAACTTAATAAAACGATTCTGAATATCGGTTCGCGTTAGCTGAAATTCCCCTTCGGGGAAGAAGTGCTTATTCAATTTGTATCGCCGAAAATTAGAGCGTGCTGCCGCAAAAAAGAACGACGGTAGATTGACTTTAAGGCGCCTCGGGTAGTCGTCCGGGAATTTAAATAACAACTAAGAAGAAGAGAACGAAAAAGACGGAGAATCGTTTCCTCGTTTCCGAGTCGCGCATGAATGACTTCTGTCTAACCGTTTAAAAGAATGACCGAGGGAACGCTCCAAAGAGTTATTCTCGCCGAAGGGAAGGGCGATTTTATCGAATGAACGAGTACCCCTCGCGTCCCCCCCCTCCCCCC